GCAACTCATTTCCTTGCCAAAAAATTGACTATCAGTTATTGTATCATCTTAAGCAAGCTTGGATGGCTCAGGTTCTTGGTCAATAAATACTGATTAGCAGGTCACCACCCAGCAGTGTTACAATTACAAGACATCTTCATGTTTACCCTTTAACCCTGTGGTGTGATTTCGGCCTCTCGGCCAGCTGTTTCTTGCTTCTACCACCTGCTCTATCAGAGGCAGGAGAAGGGGACCAAAAGGGAGAATTAAATGTAAGATATACCAAACTAAGAAGACCAGGGAGTCAGGACTAAAAGAGAATCTGCGAGAGGAGTGGTAGAATTGCTGCCAACGAGAAGGATCTGATATACCACTTTGGTAAGTTGTTAGTTCGTGCCAAGTGCAGCCTTCTTCACTGGATATGCAGATGATGATGACAGAAATAGTAAAACAAAAAGCATACAATAGCAAGTTCCATCCTGCCATAGTGAAAACTCGCCTGGAGGGTGTTAGGCAGTTCTCCAGACACCCGACGCTCCATCAAAGAGGCGAAAGCGGGCCGACAAAGTATTTCCAGTCTTGAGGCAGTCGCAGATCTGTGCCCAACAGCCGAAGCGGCCGAAGCCGCGTCACTTGGGGGGAGCAAAGCTCCACCGGCTGCCGTCATCACAGCGCCAGAAGTGGATGTCGCCATGGCAACTCCGGAGGAGCCAATACAAGTGCCTCCAGCCGTACTCGAGGCTGCCGCCCCCGAGACACCGGACGCGGAAAGGCCGATTTCACCGCTTCCGGCGGAAGACAGACCCCCAGTTCCAGTTGACATCAGACCTCCCGTCATGACGCCAATCGAAGGGAGAGTTGTGATGCCGGAAACTTGACCGATTAGACCGGTACCGGCGACGGAGCCGGTTCCCGACGTGCCTAAGCCCCCGGGCGGATTGGCGCCAGCCGGGGCGCCACAGACACCGACGCCGCCTAAGCCTGACATTCCTGCGGCTGTCTGCGCACCGGCGGTGAAGCCAAGTGGGCTAGAAGAGTGTCTAAGGTATTATAAATACCAAACAATGGAAGGGAGTCAGGCAATATAACGAGTGGGACTATGGCAGCGGTTCAGTTTGTAGCAATAGCATAAAAATATTGAGAACACAAATACAATCCACTGGTTGTAAATTCCTCCAGTTTATGACAAAATCAGGCTGCATACACAAAAAAGCCGAATAACTCGAAGCCTAGGCTACGGCACTGGAAGCACTATTTTTTATCAGTCAGTTTGTCCATCCTCTTCGTCTTGGCGTCTTTACGAATTCATATACAAGGACCATGTCCTGGAACAGGCCGAAAGCTAAACTGTCTGGTAAACGCCCATCCAAAAAGAATTGTAGCGGTTTCATTTAACTGACCGATTGAATACATGATTAAATACATGAATACATGAAGATCTTCAGCTCCGATAGCATCTACAGCATGACAACCAGCAAATCGAATTGGGCTACCTCAAACGAAGGATTTAAAATATCTTGCTTCTGTTTCACCTCGCTTCAATTAGGCCACGCAGACCTGAATTCTCTGCTTCTAATCGGCGGTGCTCAATGATGCAGCGATCATGTTTATCCTTGCTTCTACAATGGCACTGCACACCTTGTTTTCGCAACTTGGTCATATTGGTAGGAAGACTTAGAGGAAAGCACCTGGTCGGAAGTCCATTGTATGCATAATAATTTACAGAGACGGACCGTTGATATGGTACATTCCCAGAAGCTTCGCCGGCATCGTCTGTAAGTCTTTTTAGTCTGAACACCACACCACCAAATGCGTGCCAAACACTTGTGGTATCTCTCCTTCTGTCATGGGCTATTCATATTTATTATATCCTCGTTCGCCTTCATAATCACTATATATTTTTTTCTTTTTACTTGCTTATATAAATCAAGTATGGTGTGACCTTCTGAGCGGCTTTCATGAGGACTCTCCACACTCCACGCAGGCGTTTTATCACTTCCTATGTCCTAGTCTCTTGTCTGTCAACCCACAAATGTTGTGGTACTGCTTGCTTTGATTAGGATCAATGTTGAACCACAACGTCTGTGGGTTGGCACACAAGAGACTAGGACATAGGAAGTGATATACATGGTCTAGGTGCGTTCCTCTAAGTCTTCCTACCAATATGACCAAGTTGCGAAAGCAAGGTAAAACAAATTATATACAACGAAAGGAGACTGCGATCACGCAAATGGCCATCCTATCTTGATCTTCATATCTACCATTATTTTATTCGCCACAATTTGTAGCCAGTCGAGGCCTCTTCATTTTTTTATCTGTCTCATGGTTTGGAATGTCATGGCCAGGAGCATTGATCAATTCCACTTATAGACGTGGCTCCGAACAGATCACCTGCCGTGTAGCATTACTCTCATCTATGCCATTCCCAATCTATGTATACATTATACACTTTTTTTTTCGATCAACGTAATGTGAAAATTTTGGTAAAAAGTTTATTAAAGAAGAAGTTACAAAGAGTACATCCAAATGAGTCAATTTAAAAAGGCTTTTATAGTCTAAACCCAGTATAAATGTAGATATGCAGACCAAGAAGTTAGGCCAGTAATGAAGTAATGAGACAGTTTGTGGGAGATCGAATCTCTAAATTGAAAAGCACATAATAAAGCCTTTTTATATGGTCTACATAAAAAGTGATCGACATCACTTCTTATTACGCTTGAACAACAACAATATTACGTTGAAAATATAAATAATTGTGCATGTGCGTGCACGTATATATATGTGTGCGTGTTCAGCAGTGGTTGACCATATGTTTTTGTGTGCATATATTGTACATATTTCAAGGATTCTACACCTCATATGGCAGTTTTACCTCTCGTTGGTACTTTGCCATGATGAGCTACTTGCTACCAAAATTCCCACTAGCAGTCCAGTCTTCTGGCGAGCCGACCGCATATGCGCAGCTATTCAGTAGACCTACTTTAAAGAGCATTTTAAACAATGGCGAATTAGTTTGCTTCTTCGGGAAGGAGCCGCTCGGAGTCTTGGAGTTTCTTAGCACAGCCATAAAACGTAGGCTGGTCTTAAGTATGTCTCATATTTCAATTGTTCATAGCCATATATATATATATATA